TGATTAGCCTTGTATGCAAAGTTGGCACATATTACACAAAACCTGAATATATTTAAACACATACCTGACATACCGTTTGCTTTGAAGGAACGTCTGGAGTTAATAGCATTTTCTAAAGTAATTTATAAATAACAAAAAGTTGTAGTTTCTCGACTGCGACCAAATTTTGAGGGCCTGACACAATTCGCCTCTAAAGCCATGTTCAACAGGTGGGCAATTTGTCGACGCTGACCAGAAATAGCGGCTCATTCCTTCTTGAGTTGCCATTTTCGCGTCGAAGAGCAAAAATATAGACTTTCGGAGAATATTTTAGCTGTTTACTATCAAATATATTTGTGAAACAGTATATAATCTCACTAAGGAAGGCCAACGGTTTCTGAAAAGCTAAAGTACGTCGAAATCAGCGTTGGAATAGACTATATTTTCACCGGGGAAACATGAACTAAATGGATATTTACATCAACACTAAATTTCGCTCGTGCCTACAGAGCTAGCTGGATTAAAACAGATGTTAAGAAGTAAGTGAAAATGTGAATTTTGTGACTTATACTTTCATTAAAATGTTTCAGAAGGGCTGCTAATGTCAAACTACACGTGTGACAGAGCTGTCAGTATACCCATATTTCAATGTTTATGTTGAAATGGCCCATCTTCTTTGAGGTATAGCTTAAAAATTAGGGTATGCTCATCACTTGAAACTAGCTTTAAATCAAAGTTTTATCTATAGTCTTTTTATTAGAATTGAAATCATTCATGGGAAAAATGTGCCAGAGGGTTGAAATTGCCCTTGTAAATGTACACTATTTTTTATATGTTTGGGTTAATATTTTGAAAAGGTGTTCTGGAAGGAAAATATGTCTTGAACAATACTGGTTGACCCTTAAATTATAACTAGTGTTATGTAAATCACAGAAAATTGAAAAAAGTCTGGTCCATACACAATATTTTGGATTCTATGAGGTCCCGAATGCGGCTTATTTCAATGTTTAATCTGTTTACCTGGAAAAACATAGAAAATTGAATAAGTCAAGAATTTGACTATGCTCATCACCCAAAACCAGGTTTTTCTAATTGCTTTTTCACCTGGGTTTGTGGCAATACCAGTTATGCGACCACGAAAAATGCGCGCGGCACTTTTTTTGGACACTGAAGATGACAACATTTGATGTTGTTATATATTGCCATCCTCTTATCATAGTATAACTTAACTTATTTTAGTGAGTTTGTTAAAGAATTGTGCTCACTATATGCCTGTAGTATCTAAGATTTTTTTCATAGCATTAGATGATAAATTTAAGTTCTGTTTTCTTTTATTTTTAGGTGATAGTATCTGTTCACATGTGTGTTGGTATCAAATTTTGCACAAGATTAAATTATTATTTCACATTCCTTTATTGAAATATCCAAATAAATGGAATGTGACATCAAGCTGGAGGACTAAATACTGTTTCCAAACTTGTTTTTGTAAAAATAGAAAATAACAACTTATTATGTGTTGTTCTAATAAAAACTATGGTTTTTGATATGCATATTTAATTTTTGAAATTACATTTCATTCTTTGTTAAAATGTGTACCAGGAATACTGAAATCTTTCAGATCAGCTAACAATACCTTTGTAACTTATATAGCCAAGTGTTCTATCTATTTCTGTTCAGATTAAACAAATGATGGGTAAAATATTAGATTAGATTTTTGCAAAAAAATGAGCTTGCCTGTTTTCAAAGCGTAAAAAGCAATAAAATAAAGCAAAAGTACTTATTTTCAATATAAAACCTTTGGAATGCATAGCTTAATGTTTTCCACTAAATATTACAAAGTTTTCGTTCATTAAAATGTTGTTTTATCAGCTTTAAAACCAGATAAATTCACGAAACACTCCCAATATATGTCGCCATATTGATTTTCTTCGCGCATGCTCAGACAAATTGCCCACCTGTTCCACTGAACTATTTCGGAAAACCGCGTAGCTTATAACGGCCTTTAAAAATAATGCTGACGTCAGCAATATAAATTATTCAAGCCCCTCTAACTTGCGAATGAATTACTGTATCGACTTGAAATTTGCCAGGAATACTTGTAGTAAGGATATACAAAATATATAAAATGGGCAACTATATATGTTAAACGCTTAAGCTTTTAGAATTGTTGAGACGTCACATAAGTGTATTATATACCGATTAAACTGTTATTGTCTGCAGGGCAGGAAAAAAAGAATTTTCTTGTTGGGAGCACAACCTGGAGCCAAAATTTCCTACAAACCAACGGAGTATTTTTGTGCTTAATCATATAGAGGGCAAATTTACTCAAATATGATCGGCTAATGAGGAAGGCATTTTTTCTTAATTTCAGGGCAAAATTACATGTACCTGATTGGCTGAGACGCAAGCGCGGGAAGTTTCTTGTTTTAAATAGAAATAAAAACATTTTCGCTTTGTCGTCGCGGATAATGTTATTATTGAAGAATTAAAAACTTCTAGTGAGAATTTGAACACTAGAAAAAGTACAAATTTATTGGTTGGAGTATTTAAGAAATTGGCAGGCAGGGCAGCATTAAGAAACATCGGCGAAATGGCGAAGACATGCATGGAGACATATACGAGGTTCAAGAACTTGACAAGTTCACAATTAACTTACGAATAAATTTCGCCCTCTATGATTAACACGGTTGTGAAACTTTCAAAACACACGTGAAATTAAACCTTAATTTTACTCGGCCCCATGCGATTATCTATACAAATCTGCATGTGCATCATAAACACATGTTTTGTGTTTTAGCTGACCATTGTATTAAATTCAAGGAATAATGTCTGTCCCTAGTGGACAAACCATATGTTGTTGCGCCCATAGCGGACATGGGCGTTAAGGTTCCCTTCAAATTTTCAATAGCAAATCTTCATTCAAAGGGATTCGCTGCGGCTGTTTAACATTTCCTGCGAGCAGTGCTCGTGTGCTCGCCTTTTTTCCTCCTCTCTGAATAGAAATCCAAGCTATGTTCTGACATTTTAAGGATTGTCAAACCACATCTCAAAAATACAGTTCAAGTGAAAGTGAAATTTGTTTGAGCCTGGTTTGAGTTAACGAGGATTTCGTGTTAAGTAAGTTCGGGTTAAATTAAACTTTGCAATGTTACTAATTTTAACATGCTCTTTCTAGCTGTGGTGATAGATTTTGTTCTGCTTGCCTATATCAAAATTTAGTCCATTAGTCTGGAATCATCTATTGGATTTAGTTCGAGTTACCAGGGCTCTATTGCACATAATTATGGGAAAGCCATTTCTTGCATGGTGCAACGATAGTACTGTAATGGACTAATGGGTAACTTGTGATTCTTCAGATCATTCAATCAAAATTGCATGCCTCATATCTCGGTTGTACAATACAAACTTTTCTCACTGAAAAATTGAAAAATTTCATTGGGCCTAAAAAAATACATTATTTAAACACTTGGCGGGATAATTGGCTGTTTAGAGGGAGAAAATCCATCAAAGCCCTTTTCATTAATAGAGCAGTAAGATTAGTGTCTAGTTCAAACTTCTAGCTACAATCGCAGCACAAGAAGCCCTTGACTAATGTTAAATTGGGCACTATTGGACTGAAAATACGACATGAAGACGTCTTTTAACAAATAAATACTTCAATTTTGACTTTCCGAACATTATCTCAGCCCCCTTTTACAGTTTTACTTGTCTCCTACACAGCCGAGCATAGATATTTCTCGATGAAATCAAGATAATTGCCAAAATTTTCACTACCGGGAGATCACAGGTCTATACCGGGTGACTCCCGGCTATGTCGGGAAAGTTGTCAGGTCTGCTCAGTCAGCCAGGCCAACTTGGCTAGCCGGGGGGCCGGTCGGGACAACTAGCTCCATGTAATGCACCCATCAATGTAAATCCTGTGTGGGGAGGCAGGACCAGTGGAGGATTTTGACAAAAATATGAGAAAACTAATCAAATGCCGGCAGTGGGGGGGGTATGAAAATTCCCACGGGAGAAGAGATAATTAAACAACACCAATTTACTTATAAACATTAGATACATTTAAAAACACCAATTTACTATAAAGATCGAGCAAAACAAGGGAAAATCATTTTTAATAATAATTGAATTGACATGAACATAAAGGTCATATTTTCTGATTTTCAAATTTAAACTTACCTTTTATACAATTACATAAAAATGACTGTAAAAACCTTTGCAAAACAGCACTTTCGACTACGCTCAGAGGACCACACTGGATTTAAATTTTACGCATGACTGCTCACATGCATAAATAAGTTCAACCTACAAGCAGGCTGGGCTGAGTTCAAAACGCCCCATCATGGCACAGAATACACCTTTCCTTAACATTTTTGTGACCGCGATTTTCGCCTTGCGGATCACGAATTGCGCACGTTAGATGACGTGTGTGACACTTGCTGCGAACATCACGTCAGCATTCGTCAGTGTCAATCTGGCGTCAATTCCTCAAATCAACAGTTTTTCTTGAAATGCACAAAACATGCTCAGAGTGTACGCTGCATATTCTGCAATTATTGCAGAGCCTGAAATAACGGCCGGCGGTCGGCGGTTTTCCGACCAAATTCCAGTTTTTCCGACCAAATGCTGAAATGATCGGAAGTTTCGTCCGGACAAATGTTAAAAAAAAATGATAATCTGGTTTTTTTTAAATTATCGGGTCGGCGCTCAGCACAGTGAGTGCAGTATGTATAGTCTTAGATTATCTATACTAGTCTTATATAGAGTAATCAACTGGAAAGTTATCAAAGTTTCTTCGATCAGAGTATGCTTTAAACAAAGTTTAGTTAACTTAAATGTATGACAGTGCATGAGTTACGAGTCAGAGTGGCTGCTTTCATTGTTGTTAATTTGACGACCTGGAAGATAAAGAATGCGTTTCCTCGACGTTTCGAGCAAAGGCCCTTCATCGATCAGGACAGTTAAATAGGTTGTTTATTACAAGTACTGTAGAGTGATTTACTGATGCTTGACATAATTTACTCAACGGAGGCGATCAAACTAAACTAAAAAATTTCCGACCAAATTTGAAAATTTCCGGTCAAATTTCATTTTGCTTGGAAGTTTTGCCGGACAAATTTAAAAATTATTTCAGGCTCTGTTATTGTGTAAATATTTTACGCTTTTGGGTTTTAAGTCGTGTATTCCTGTTGCGACGACCTTATTTGGACCTGTGGCATTAAAAACGGTTAAAACGGCGATCTTTATCAAGTGATGGCATATTGCTCGCGTTTGATGTCGTGGTGATTACACTTGCTGGCTCGCGCCTGCGCATGAAAAATCTCGGACATAATTTTGGCGTGGACCTTCTGGTCTATTTTCTATTCTGTGATCATGGGGACAGGCAAGTTAGAAAATGTCCCAGGGAGGGGATGACTTTTGTGATCAAACTACCTATACTCCCCCCCCCCACGGGGTTTACATTGATATGTGCATATTTAAATCAGGTTGTTTACAGAAGCAAGCAAGCCCAGTATTAAAGAGGGCTGATTTTCCTCCTGTAAACAAGAGGTGAAAACCGGCGCTTCTGGTTGGGCTAACCCTTTATCTAGGGCTCGATCGTATATTAAACACCTCCTGGGATGACTACAGTGCCTAGTACACACACCACTACACCAATGACGCAACATATTTCCAAACGATTTATAACATTTAATATTCAAAAACGTACCACGAAAAGAACGTCTGCCTTCTCTTGATGTAGTTATAGAAAACCCAGCTCCTTTCAAAGCCTTACTAAACAATCCAGCCGACATATTACAAGTTTTAAACCGACTTTCTCCCCATAAAATATCACTGAAATTAATCAAAATCCAATATGGCCGACACAATACTTTCGGGGGGGGGGGGG